ATATAATAATATAATAATATATAGATAATAAGAAGATGATAGATAAATAATATAAACAGAGAAATAAATATAAAAATACGATAGATAAATAACATATAAATAAAAGAATATGAATAATAAAAATAAATATGAATAATCAAATCATCTATTTCATTAATATTTCATACAAAATGAATACAAATGATTATAAAATATAAACATAAATATTTATATATTCTGTATTTATCATACTTTTTATTTTTATTTTAGGAGCAAAATATAATAAATGGAATATTCTATGGATGCAAATTTTTTTGCATCTTTTTTCTTTTTTGTAAATTATTTAGATGCATTTTTTCTTTGCTAATTTTCGTACTCTTAATACCTTCTCATTTCAACACATTACTTAATTAATTATTGCATTTCAGCTTAATTATTTTATGTATTATTTTCAATGATTTATTATTATTCTTTATATTTTCACATATTATTTACAATTCAACATATTTCATTTGGTGTTAACTATTAATTTTTGTTATCTTTATTTGAACACGTAACAAACACATAAACATTGCTAACTATATACAAATTATTATACAAAACTCATGTTAAGTGGTTTTTCTAATTAGTTATTATTTTATTATTTGTATTTCTGGTAGTGATAAAACAATAATAAACAATAAATAAAATTCAAATAAACAAACGACAAAATAAATAAAATGGAAAATAATAATAGATGAAAAAGAATAACATAAATAATAATAAGAAGAAGAAAGTATGGTATAAAGAAAAATAAACATAGACAGAATGAATTTATGAATGTTGTTTTCTAAAAAAATAGACATTATACTTGCAATTAGAGATAAAACTCATATTTAAAATCAATATTTAATGAACAAAATCATAAAGCAATACTAAAATACACACTAGAAAACACAAATAAGATATTAATAATATATCATCATATTCATGATTTATTTTTAATTAAGAATTTGAACAAATAAGATTCTTATTTCTCTTAAAAAAATAATTTTCATTAACAGAAAATATAGTAAAATGAATGTAATTAAGAATGAGTTATATTTTAATGTTCTGATATTCATTTGTTTTATTTTCATTTATTTTTTATAACTTATAATAAGATGATGAAACAAATCATTACCATTGTTTTAATGCTGTACTGATTAAAGTTTTATACTTTTTGGATAAAATATTGGAAAATTACTTAATGAATCGTCATTATTTATTTAATAAAATAAGTCAATGGTCAATTAGAAGAATATTCAATGAAATTATTCATAAAATTATTGTCTTTTTTACATAAACATTTGTAACATAACATTGTATTTGTTTTAATTCATTACCATTGAAATATTATTTCAAAGTATCATGTTTCTGATTTGTTCACTATTTATAAATTAAAAGAATGAAAGGGATATAAACAAATATCATCATTGATTTAAATATTCTCTTTAATTATTTTACCACTTCTATTATCTCTTCATTTGACACTTATGTTTGTGAATTTCTCATTAAATCATTATTATTTTATACATACTTATTGAATAATTTTCTCACATTTAAAATATCATTAATTTATTACTCTAAATTACATTCTTAATTTACAATCAGAAGAGGGTGTAGCTATTTAAACAGTAATTAGACTTGGGTGTTTATAGAAACTACAGCATCAAAGATTGATTATTCTGTAATAACATTCAATAACTTGTTATTTTGAAGACTAACATTATTAGAGTATTGAAATAAAACACTATTTGAATGAAATACGATTGAATTAGGATTTTAATTCTTCTTCAATATTTATTCAGCTTCATTAACATGACATACAAAATTAACTTGTTGATAAACTCTCACTTTCATCTTCCCTTGTCTCATAGTCATAACATTACTCTTTTGACATATTGAAAATAAACAACCAACCATCCCAGATATTTTTTATTAACTAACTTATTTTATAATACACTGCAATATGTTGTTGTTAAAGCCACAGTTATTTTATTAATTCTAACATTTGTTTCTGAGTTATCTTCATTGCATTGATTCGTTCTATCCGTTTTATCTTCCTTCAGTTTTATTAATTTATCTTCGCAATATCCTTTCATTTATTCATCCTTTTAAGAATTATGAAACTTGGAACATCATACCATTTTCTAATTCTTTAGATATTTTATTCCCTTTCCACTCCCCTTGATGGTTGTAGATTTGTGTTGAAGAAATAAAAGAATAGAACAACCAAATCCATCTTTGTTCAATACTTTCTTTCATTTATTCTCATTGTGTTGACATTAATTAACCATTCTAATGACACAACTGATATGGCAATAACATTAATAATCAGTTAAATGAACTAACAAACGTGAAAGTAATGAATCTCTTCTATCCATCATTGAAAGAGGTTGTGTTTCATTATTTCTGTTATCATCTTGAAAAACATCTTCAACCAATATTTGATCAAACACTGGGTTGTTTGTAGAAAGACAGATAAGATCCCACAATAACCTCAATGTGATCTTTCCAACCCAATTCTTTCTTACTCCATCTATTTTATCAACAAGTCTTCCTTCTCCAACAACCCCTTGAAGAACTTCATGAAGCTCTTGAACAATGGTTGCTCTTGTTGCTGGAGATAATAATGATTGTGAAATAAAAACTAACGAATGTTCAAAAGCAATAACTGACATGATAGAATGTGGTGGAGGTGTTGAATATTCAGGACAGACTGACAACATTGCAGACACTGATGCCTGGATGTATTGTACAAGAACTGAATCAGATCGTCCACCAAGAACATTGAGACTCATTTGATAAATTGAGTAAAGATCATTTGGTTTGAATTGTGGGAGACAAGCAACAAGAACCCTTATGTATTTCAATGGGTTTTGATTAAATTTTAGTTTAATTTGATTCAAAACATCTTCTTTCATGAAATGGAATGAGTGTGTTTCTACATAATGTGTTGAATGGTTTATATGAAGGGTTATTGGATTGTCTAATGCAAAAGTGATAAAATAGAATGGGTGGAGAAGACATGACAAAACTAATTCTGTTTCTTCTGCTTCTAAGAGTCGTTGAATAAATGAATCTTTCAAATAATTAGAAATTGGTAATAATGATTGTAATGAAACAAGAGATTGTAATGCTTGTTTATTTGAATTGACTGGAGGTGTTTGATTTCCCCATAATTCGTCTTGTAGAATTTTAGAAAAGTCAGTGTCAAATAAAATATGATTTTTTGGAATAGTTGGAATGAACTTTAAGAGAAACTCATGATGTAAATAAGCAATAATACTATGTGGTTGTTTTTTAGTGATGTATAACATTAGTTGACCATTATGATCTTTATTTCGTGCTGAAACTCTCAATGCAGGTAATCGTTTATCAAAGAAATGTTGTATTTTCCAAAAGTCAGTAATTGTTTGAATAGTGATATAACTTTTGGATGGAGTCTTCTTTGGTAATAATTCAGAAAGAATATCAAATAATTCACCATAGTCATGAGGTAATTCTTTTCCAAGAATATTTTCTAAACATCTTCTATTTTCACATTTTAAACAACTATAAGTTATGGCTTCAATTAATGATATTGGCATTGGTTGAAAAATATCAAATAATGATTGATAGAACAATTCTGATAATTCTTGTTTTGAAGAAAGGAGTTGTAATGTTACTTCTATCCCTTTAAATTCTTTCAATGCTGGTGTATTTGTAGGTGTTTCTCCACGTAATGCTCGTGCAATATCTGGTCGAGTTTCTCTTAATAACCGTTCTGCTTCATGAACAATCACTAATGGTGCTGAGCATCGAGAAACCATCAATGCATCAGACACTGTCAAATCAATTACACGATGAACA